AGAAAAAAAAAGCGAAAACGTTACGTAGATTCCAGAAATTCAAAAAAGGAAAAAAAAAAAGAAAAAAGAAAAAAAGAAAAAAAAAGAAAAAAGAAAAAAAAAAAAAAAAGCTCATGCGAAAGACGACTTTTCACCCCGAAGAAACTCGCCTTCATCAGCCTTCTGTTTGTCTTCTTTTTTCAGTCCGCCGTACACCGTTGGACATGATGCGGGTCCGCGCCACGGATCCACGCCCGTGCCCGAAGTGTGGCAAGATCTATCGATCTGCCCACACGTTGCGAACCCACCTGGAAGACAAGCACACGATCTGTCCTGGTTACCGTTGCGTGCTCTGCGGAACCGTGGCCAAATCCAGAAACTCTCTGCATTCACACATGTCTCGGCAGCATCGTGGAATCAGCACCAAGGACCTGCCGGTGTTGCCGATGCCGAGCCCGTTCGACCCTGAACTGGCCTCGCGTCTCCTGGCGAAGGCGGGCGTCAAGGTGAGTCCCGCGGAGTTGCGTGCACGCGCCAGTCCGACGGGGCCGAGGAGAGGCGACATGAGGCTGGAGATACCACGGGGTGGCGCGCCATCCGAGGCTGGCAGCAGCATCTGCGGTGGAGACGACCCGGAGGATTTAACTCTGCCACTGAGTCTCAGGTACGGGTCACCGACGCCCAACAACAACACCGTCATCACGAAAGTGAGCGGCTGCGGCGGCAGCAGCAGCAACAACAGCAGCAGCAGCACCAAGAATTCCACGGCGACGGCGATAGCGGTCAAGTCCATGGACACGATGCACGGTAGCCGCGAGCCGAACACGGCGCCTCTCCATCCGCCCGGACATCTTCATCCAGGCCATCATAACGCGAGCGCTACGGGATCGGCGATCCTCGACACGTATCTGCAGTTCATCGCGGAGAATTCCGGATTGGCGACGATGGGTCTGAGCCCCGAGCAAGCTGCCGCGGTTGCGGCTGCACACGCGGCCAAAATGGCACATATGACCAGCATGGATAAGTTGGGCGGTCGCGGGATCGAAGATTATCCGATGATCGGCCGGGACGAGGGTCGAGGCCCAGGAGTAGTGCACGAGGATCGACAGGAGCTGCAGGACAGGCACGTCGGACTCTTGGAGGAAGGCGAATCGTCCGGCGGCGAAGACGACGACTTCAGCGAGAACGATGAGCCAGAGATCGTTAAAGCTGAATAGCTGACGCGCACTCGCTCGTTAGGATCTGTCTGAAGTGCCAGAATTGGTGACAGATTCATGCATTTCGAGAGACAGAGAGACAGAGAGAGAGAGAGAGAGAGAAAGAGAGAGAGGTGTGTGTCTTCGGATCCAATCTCGGATTCGGTCACCTGCTCTCCTTTCGTTCGCAGTCAAATCCATCCACTACCTCAGTAGAGACTTACCCCTGTTTCCTTTTCGTTGCGGGAGATAGCATTCTTTTGTGTTTTTTTCTTTTTTTTGTCTGTCCAAAGAAAGGAGAAGAAAGGAGATGGGAAAAAGACGAAGTCATTGCCATTGATGGTTCGTACATGTACGTACGTACGTACGTACGCATATAACGGCCGATTTCTGGATCGAAGAATGAATGAATTTCTCCCTCGCTGCAGACCGAGAAGGAAACGAAGCTTTACGTTGCTTGCCTACAACACACATATACTCTTCTCACACACACACACACGTAGCCACGTGTATATGCGCGTTATATACGGTTTTTTACCCCGTTATAAAATATTCCATCTGTCTACCTCAGTGAACACGATAAACGATAAGTGATAGGACAGACCAAGATGAATCTCACGAACGATAAAGTCGGAGAGAAAAACAGAGAGAAAGAGCGAGAGAGAGAGAAGAAACAATACACGGTGAGACGATTAGAGACAAAGAGATCTATCGCCGTTGCTATTCACGATTTCAAGCGCTTTACGATGAACGATCAAACGAAAGGGCTATAAGAAATATCGCGATGGAGAAGTTGGTCGCAGTTTTAACGACCGCGTTTCAATAGAATCGATCGTCACAGGCAAGAAGTATGGAGTGCGTGCGAAATGAGAAGCCTGGCGACAGCCAGGGAATCTGTTTTGATTCTTTTTTTATTTTCTAAAGATTTAAGACAAAAAAGAGAGAGAGAGAGAGAAAAGGAGGAACGGTGACCGTCGCGTGCACGCGACTCCCGAGAAGATATTATTATTATTATTATATTATATTATATTATATTATTATTATTATATATAAATGTTGAGGAAATATATATATATTAGATTTATAGAGAAGTTAGTGTACCGCGACGCGTGCGTACGTACCCGGATGCACGCGTGAGGAAAGAAATAATAATAATAATAATATTAATAATAATAATGATTAGAGAGAGAGAGAGAGAGAGAGAGAGAGAGAGAGAGAGAGAGAGAGAGCGAGCATTACAGAAATAAGTAGAGTGGATGCGTGTAGCGCTAGGGTTAGCACCCCCTGTATTTTTTAGAGGCGTTGACCTTCCGTACACTCACAGACGTATACACGCTTTGCATACATTGAACAACACTCTTGCTACACTCTTCTCATGTATTATTCATAAGCATACACTGACACATACGTATACGTAATACGTACACGACAAAATGTCGTGATGCGTTGGCGCGCGAATCGAAAAGATTACGCGCCGATTGAGAGTCGTCTTAGAAGCGCGACCATTATCACGATTGTTAATTGTCTACTGTTTTATCGTAAGGAATGTAAAAACAGAACGGAGGTGGGTAATTAATCATCGTGTCGATTGGCGAATGAGATGTCTTAATGTTGCTTAGCTTTCCATTGACAGTCGAGGGAGGAGCGCATAACATTGTTAGGGGAACGTATAAATAGCGCTCAGGATTAGAATATTAAACTTCCAGGCAGGCAAAGGACGAGATTCTTCTTGTTTGGTGCACGAAACGACGTGTTCCACTCGTTTTTTTTTTTTTTTTTGGCATTGAAATTAGTCCAGGTGGCGCACGAACTAGGAAAAAGACGAGAGAAGAGAATCTTTAACAGTCGAGAACAAACGGTCCCTTCTTGTCGTTCCTTTCGTCGTCCGAAGCTCTCCTCCCCCTTTTTCGTTCTTTTATTCGATCGAAATCAATCGAGCTGGAAACAGAAAATCCATCCTTTAGGGCTTGCCATGACCTTCATAGTACTTAAGTTCTTCTTTTTCGGCTTGGATGATCTTCTTGTCTCCTCTCTTCGAGGGAAACGACACGATACCTTCACCCGCGAACGAGATCTTTTCATAGACGATTAGTTGCTCGTGTATATTTTCATTTTTTTTTCTTTTTCTTTTTCTTTTCTTTTTTCTGCCCCAAAAGAGGAATAACGAGAGACAGAGAGAGAAGAGAAGAGAAGAGAAGAGAAGAGAAGAGATAGAAAAGATAGAAGAATTTACGACTCAAAAGAAACGATAGAGTCACGAGCGGAACGAGAATCACGAGCGATCTTTTTTTTCACTTTCGTGTTGCTCTTCCTGTCAGCATTCCTTCAAGTCTGTTTCCGCATTCTTGAACGTATCATTAGTTCTGACGCATTTCGATCGAACTATTCGACGCACTATTTATTTATAAATCGGTCAATGTTTCTTTTTTTTTCAAAGATTTTTCATCTCGCGGTGAGGTATATATATAGATTTTGTTTTTAATATCACTGTACTTTCGTCGCGAATTTACTACCCGTAAATTTTACAAACGTGATTCTCGTTCGCTGAATGACAATTAGAGTAAAAAAAAGAGGGTAACAAGAAAATTAGAGCGTGAAGATACAGTTTCGAGTTTCGAATTCGTAGGTCGCAACTGTCGCTCGAAGAGTAATGTTAAAATGGTTCCTACTAATTGAGTACATACACGAGCTACTTTAATTTACGGTATACCTAAAGATACATATAAATAAAAAAAAAAATATATATATATATATATATATATTTACGCATACATACGTATAATAAGATACGCCTAGAAGAAAGAGAAACTTAGCAATACGTAGTGGCGCATCGCGGTTTGAACGTATCGATTTCTTTACTATAATAACTATTATCTTGTCTTTTCTTTCCGGTTCTATCTCTTTTTCGTTCCGGTTGTATTTTTTTTTCCTTTTTTTTTCGCTTGAATGTGCATGGAAAAAGAAGAATGATAGCGAGCAAACGAGAGAATCGATTGTGGCTGAACGATTTACCGAGGAACTCTTTTTTTCACTTATTTTATTTCTTTTTTTTTAATTTTTATTTTTTGCCTAGGTTTAGTAGGTTGTACACAATACTCGAAGTATACTAACCTTTCCTTAGCATGTAAGATCATTTTATCCATGAAACACAGGGACTTTCTCAGCGACTTTTCTAGGCCACTGGTTATACAAATGTGCGTTTACGTTCACGAACGTAAACTGTGTGTCTCTGCGTAAGACGATACGTCCGTAAAGAAAAGAAAAAAAAAGCGAAAACGTTACGTAGATTCCAGAAATTCAAAAAAGGAAAAAAAAAAAGAATAAAGAAAAAAAGAAAAAAAAAGAAAAAAGAAAAAAAAAGAAAAAAAAATAGAAGTAAACGGGAGATACAAATAAAAAAAAAAATTCATCGGCGATCGACGCGTGGATCGTGCGCGAGACGCGAGCAAACCCTTTAACGAGCAGCGTCAACTCCCATCGCTTCCGTTGCAAACTCTCGAGACTCATTTATTATTTAGAGACGTCAGGTACAAAAAGAAGCTAGATACGATTTTTATTCAAGACAATAATTGACACGAACGCGCCGATAGAGAATTATCAGGACGCGAGATTTGAAACGAGACTCGGTGAGAGTTCGATGCTGGGATTCTCGGATTTTTTAAACTTTATAACTGTATATACAGGGTGTTTTGTAACTTGTGGGAGCTGATTGTACGCCTAAAAATAATGAAAAAAAATATATATGTCCTATCTGTCTTCGTTTATGAGATATAATGAATTTTCTGTTTTAACTACTTTTACAAAAGATGCTCGAACATTCCTGGTGTTTCTCGAATTTGTCGGAAATTAATTTAAAATGCGGTATGCGGTTTATGCATGATGGAGCTCCGCCTTATTTTAGCCGAGTGGCTAGGCAATTTTTAAATCAACACTTTGCAAATAAATGGATTGGTCGTGGAGGTCCTATTGCATGACCTGCTCGTTCTCCGGATTTGAATCCATTAGATTTTCATTTGTGGGAACATTTAAAATCTATCGTATACGCAACATCGATCGAAAAAAATGCTGAAATACTACGAAATAGAATAGAGCAAGACTTCCGACAAATTCGAGAAACACCAGGAATGATAGAGAGTGTAACCAAATCAATGACAATACCCGTGCAGGCTTGTCTTCAAATGCAACGGTGGTCATTTCGAGCATCTTTTGTAAAAGTAGTTAAAACAGAAAATTCATTATATCTCATAAACGAAGACAGATAGGACATATATTTATATGATTTTTTCATTATTTTTAGACGTACAATCAGCTCCCAAAGTGGGTCCCACAAGAAACACCCTGTGTGTGTATATATATATATATACGCGAGCGAAAGAAAGAAAAAGAGTATTTGTATACGATACGGGAAATACTTGTATACGAAGCACGAGCGAAGAGGCCATGGAAATCATAACTTTTCGTTCACGGTGATTTCTAACGTTATGGCTGCTCGGAACGTGCTGTTTTTAATGCTTGTTACGGACGGTGAGATTTTTAATCGCTCGTTTCCCGCCCGACGAGTCCACGCTGTCGACCCGCGCGCCGCGAATTTACAACGGGAAGCGTCCTAGATAGAGATGTTTCTGACTGAGAGAGAGAACGCGTGGCAACGATCGCGAATCTCGACGCGAATCCAGGTCTAATCGGTACAAAGAAACCACTTCTTGCCTTGCAGAAAAGCTCTCTATAAATATTCAGACGCGATCGTGTCGCGAGATACAAGGGTTGAATACGAGGCGGGAGATTTGGAAAGAAAAAACGAAAGAAACAAAACATAGACCAGGAGCAAATTCATAGAAATTCTACGCAGAGTACAAATTGAATTCGCGGTGTTTTATCGGGGAGAATGGTTTTAAAGAGAAAAAGAAAGCTGGGACGCTGGGAAAATACGACTAGAGAGAAAAAAGAAAAAGAAAGAGAAAAAAAAGCAGGAAATAATAGACACCGATCGAAGGAGGGAAGCTTAGAAAGATTTTCTAGGTATCGTTAAACGCGTTTGTAACAACTGTCTGTCCGGATCAGAACGAAGAAAATGGAAAATAAAAGGTTTGGGTTAGGTTTGGGTTACTTTGTGCCATTGTAAATAATTATTCGAACGTGACGAGATTTAAGACTTTCTTTTTCCTTTTATCTTTTCCGTTCTTTTTTTTTTTTTTTTTTTTTTTTTTAATTAGTTTTGTTCAACATTTTTTTCTTTCTTTCACTGGTAACAGAAACGTGTCCCATTTCTTTCGACGATCAGCGTGCATCGTACACGCGTTGGTCGACCGCGTTCAAAGTCGATGAACAATTCAGTGATCTCGTCTTATAGACTTTCGTCTTCGTTTTTCTTTTTTTTTTTTTCGTTTCTTCTGTTTAATCGTACGAATAGAGGCGACCATCTTACCAATTGCCGTGGTAAATATATATATGTTATTATACGAACATGTACACAGCACAAACAAGTACACATCGAAGTACACACTCACACATGTCACAGACTAATTGAAAGTTGCAAAGAACACACACACACACATACATACACACATGTAAGCAGATGATATAAGGAAGCATTATAGTTAAAAGAAAAAAAGAAGAAGGGTTGGCGGGGTGCGTTCGTTCACCCTATTAAAGTGACAGATATTCACGCCCCTCCCCGCAGATCATAGTTTTCTACGACAGTATTTATATAGTTATATATACATATAAATATATATACATACATATATATATATACACAATCAGAAGTATATCGAAATGTATATACGAAATGTACATACGCATATTAAATATTTTTACACGGACGATCGCGTCGGGCGAGGGCATCCCGCCATCCGAATCTCCAGTCGGGTGTATTCCCCCCAAGGTAAAAAAGTCCGATGAACATAGTTCGCAATAGTCACTTGAAATAAAATAGCACCAACTACAGTATTGCAATAGTTGTTAGAGAGACAATCGTGTGCGTGACCAAGAGAATGCTCTCGCGCAAAGACCCGATATCGGCGTACCGATCGGTGTCTCTGTCGGTTGATTGGAATTTGAAGAAGAGAGAGAAAGAAAGAAAGAAAGAAAGATGACGAGAACTACGTGTACCGCGAGTCGCGAGTATTTAATCCTTGAGCACGTTATGAAGAATATCTCGAAGAAGAGGGCGCAAATAATTAATTTTTTAAATTAAAATATAATGACAATAAATTTATTTCTAATGATATTAAATTAATTTATTAATTACTAAATTTATTAAAATTTTTAATAATAATATGAATAAAATTATATATAAATATTTTATCAAAACATATCTTCAGACATATTACTCAATTTTAATTTATATTAAATAATTAAAAACAACTCTGGATTTTAGTTTAAAAGAAAATAATTAATTTGCAATTAATAGATATAAAATAAATTAAATCTAATAACTATATACAAATTTTTTAAATTTATCGTTTGAACATAAAAGTTTTATATAGCTGTATTATATATAATTATAACATGATAATATTAAAATTTTTATTTAAATAATTTCAAAATATTTTATTTAAGTGAAATTTGTTTACAATATTTAAGTGAAATTTATTTACATTATTAATATTTATTAATTCATTTAAAATCAAAATGTAACATACAATTTTTTACATTAAATATAATTTTTAGTTTCTTGCGGAGGATTAAATATTCGCGGTCCGCGGGAGAAGAGAAAAACTGTGGAACAGAACGATGAAGGAACGTGTAGGCTGGCGCGTGATAGAATGCTCGACGGTATCGGCAACGCGCGGCTCTCCTCGGTATCGACAATAATAAACGAGCGTGCCGGAGCTCGTAAACGCCGAATCGCACGAGTGCACTCGCCTCCGCGATGGCTTTACGATGATTATAAACGGTGGATTAACGACGTTGTAAACGCGGCTAAGCTTTTTGCGAATTGTCCGCCGGTTCGTTCGTTTCTTAGACGGAATTCAAATGACCGCCTCTGAATTCGTGACAAGGCGGGCTGAAGAGGCTGAAGACGAAACTCCCTTGCCTACCGAAATGAAAGGAACCAATACAACAGCGAAACGCGTGATTCGAAATGACTGTTTGTCATCATCGCAGCGCCTCTTTATTGCCTTCTGTTTTTTCTTTTTTCTAAACTCGACAACGGCCGCAGTCGTGCATTCTGTCGTGCGTCGATTTCTCTTTAGTGGTAGAACGTCGAGTTCTTTTCTTTTTTTCTCTGGAAAAAGTTCGCGAGCAAAGGAGCAAAAGTTGCCATCTCAGGTACCTACGCGGGAACCAGCACGATTACATAATACATTGTTGTAAATGTAATAAACAAACTCAGGAAATCTGAAGCAGCCAGGCCGTGATACTATACTTATAGAAACTACTACTACTGTTACTAAACTACTACTACTACTACTATTACTATTACTACTGCTACTACTACTACTGCTACTACTACTACTACTACTACTACTACTACTACTATTACTACTACTGCTGCTACTACTGCTACTACTACTACTATTACTACTACAGATGCGATTCTTTCGGTCGGATCATCGGCGATCCAAGCGTCTATTCTGTTTTGTTTCGTTTGTTTGTTTGTTTCTTGTTTCTTACGAGATTTTTAATCTGGCAAATGGCAAGGCATGTGCACACCGTATCTATAAATCGGCGTGTGTTCGATGAAATCGATTAGAGCTTCGTGCAAACAAAAAAAAAAAAAAAAAAACCGATGTGACCGTAAATAACTTGCGTGAGTCATGAATTCTATCTGATTGCGTGCGCTCGGTTCTACGTGTGAATGTACGTAGGTCTAGCGTTTGTCACACGGTAGTTGACGGCTCGAATTTGTTTCACGAAGTCGTATGACAATTAGAGAGAAAGAGTGAGCGAGAGAGAGAGAGAGAGAGAGAGAGAGAGAGAGAGAAAGAGAGAGAGACAGACAGACAGACAGAAAGAGAGAAAGGAAAGAGAAAGAAACAAAAAATAGGAAAAAGAAAAATGATTGTGAAAATCACCACAGCTACCTCCATGTTAATTAAATATCAGTCTTCTTCTCGCGCTATACTCACGCTCATGGATTACCTAAAAGCATACGTTACTTTTACAAATCATTACGTCTCCGTAGCGAAATATATATTATTATATAATTATATATACACAACGTTTACACATAGTCAGAAGCGCGAGATAATAATATAGCTTCCACGGATTATATAGGTTTAAGGATTTGCCTCCTTCCGCGGAACAGTCGAGCCGGCGTTCGATTCATAATGATAGAAAAAGAAAGTCAGGAACGTAGAGAAAGAGAATAATTGATGAAGTAGAAGAATACTGGTTGCGTTGCAATCTAAAAAATGATACGAACACTGCTCAAACTGACTCGAGGACTATAGAGTTCTATCGGGTCTGCGTTCGAACTTATTGAAACATTATAGTTCGTATTTATAGAATAAAACAGTGTCCAATTAAACTGTCTAGCCACAGTTGTTTGATCTTCGAAATTACAGCGG